CTGATTTCAGATTCCTGACCTTCAGAACCCTGAGAAAATACATTTCTGTTGTTTTAAGCCAACCAGTGCGTGGTGGTTCGTTACTACAGTCCCAGGAAACTTCTCCTGAACAGCTACTGACAACTGTTCACACTGCAGTCAGGGGCCAGCCCTAACTGAGAATCTGACCCCCACACACACCTTAAACACTTTTCTGTCTCTCTCTAGCCTTTAGCTGCATTTTGTTTCCATGGCTCCACATGAGGCACACATGTGACGCTCTCTGCAGCTTCTGATGTTGTCTACCCCTCCAGCTTAGGAAGAATTCCTCTCAGAGTGCAACTGAGATGGGACTTCATAGGGATCAACACCCTCGTGTAATGATTGAGCAAAACAAAACAAACAAAAACAAAAAGCCTATTTTGAGCCTGCCATCTGCCATTAGATTCCTGAGAACACACCCCCGGCAACAACCTTTTGCTGACTGCTGGGGGTCACCTGGTCCCTGCCTTATTCTTCATCTTCTCCCCCAGAAATGCTGGAGGAGAAGAGCCAGCTCCTTCCTCCTCTCTGACACGACTCACTCACTTGGCCTATTTGCCCGCACACACCCTGTCCCCCTTTGCTTGAGAGGCTTTCCCTACAGTTAGCTGTCCTATGAATTCTTCTTCACTATGTGAAGCCAAGTTCATGCTCCATTCTCTTCCACTCAAACTTAGATAACTGATTCTCTGTTGGCAATGACCTCACTCTTTTTTAAAAAAATAAAACATGAAGTTTTACTTTATGCACTGTACTATATTATAATTCTTTATGTATCCATTTCTTTGAAGATTAAGTTATTTTAAACACATCTTAATGTTCTCAGTGCCTTGTGCAATAGTCAACACCAGCCTACTGAGTCATATTGATTCAGATTTCTGTTCTGGAATCGATGACCATATTTAAAAGCTGTATTACTTCTTTTCTGATGAAAGGGTTATAAATACCAATATTTAGTGAAAAATTTCATCATTTTAGGGGAGAATTTATGGGAAATTGGCAGGGAATATGTACTTATTCCTCAGAGAATGCCACTGTGAGGCCACCATATTGGATTTCATGGAATGGATTTGAGAATGAAAGACACGATTGCTTTACCCAAAGCTGGTGCCGAAAGGGAATATTTTCATTTCTACAGGAGAAACAAAGGTGACGGTGAGCCATAGTTTTCTCCGGCTATTTGTCATGCAGACGTGTTGTGGGCCCCAGCCCTTGTATGTTATCATCTATTTGTGCCCTTCTGTGTAGCTTTCCAAGGACTACTGAGATGTCTTGTTTTTCCTAGTGACAGGGAAGGGTACTGTGGCTCAGGGTTCCTCTGGGGCTTTGGAATAAAAATAACCCAACGGTATCGTGTCCACAGGTCCTGTAAATGGCACAAAGGAGGCCTCTTGCTAAAAGCAGCGCTCCCATCCTTGTCCTGAAACTGGGTTTCTGCCTGAGCTATTTTCAGCCTTGTTTCCAGTTGCCTCCGGCCAGTGACAAGATTTCACACTCGGCTGCTGCCGCTTCTCGTTATGGCCCTGCGCGCTGCTCTCTGTTTCTCAAAGGCCGCGCTCTGCCTTGGAAGCACTGGGACAATGTGGTGTGCTTGAGTTTGCAGACCGGGACTCCTCTGCCTTCCCGAGAGAGAGCTACTTCATACCTTAGCTACAAGCACAGACACTTGATTCCTTTCTTAGGAAACTGCAGTCTGCAAATTTATTCAGATAAATGTGAATGTAGCCAGCTTTTTTTTCCTTTTTCTTTTTGCTCTGTCAGTTCTGAGAAATGAAACCCTGTAGACACATGGAGAGGTCTCCATTGAGCACTGACTCCTTGCCAGGATGATATTGGAAGAGGGGATCTTAAGGCAGGCTATGATCTCAGGCTGCCTTTGTTCTTTGGTTTAAAACACTACCTCTCAGAGATCAGAGCCAGTTCTCCAATTCTGTGACGCAGTCATTGGGTACATAGTGGTACTTCCCTTCCCCTTTTCAAGCCCCGGAGTAGCTACCCCACTACAGATGTGAACCTCAGGCTACTGCCTTCTTCTCAGTGATCTGCCACTGCCCACGTACACCTGAACAAACAGCACCTTGTAAAGCCTCGTTATCCAAAGTTGTTCTTTCTTTGCTGTTAGGCTCTTACTGAGAGTTCCCCTGGATTGCAGGGACACGGAGACTCTAATTAACAGGGATCTTGAGAGGTTTCAGTGGCTTATTTAGATTCATTGACTAGAGACTCACACAGAATTTCAATGAAAACAAGAGAGATTGGAAGGATATAGGAGAGTTCAGACGTAGATGATGTACATTAAAGGCAAGCGGTCCCTTTGAGAACTGGAAAGGCTTCATCTCTTATCTGAGGCATTGCAACTTCCTGCCAGCAGCATCTGTTCCGCTTTCTCAGCGGCGGCGCACCCTCTTCTGTTCCTTGGATCCCTCCTTCTCATACCTCTCCTCATGACTCAAACTGGCGCACAAGTTTGGCTTTGAAAGATACTGACTTCAGTCTTCACCTCTCCCCTTGCAGTTTCTCTTGCTAATTAAGGAGAAATTATTGAAGTATAGAGCAACTAATGCGCAAACGGACATGAGTGTAGTCTTTAAATGAGAAGATGAAAGCAAACTCAAATCTCTTCTGGAAAACACAGCAAGATGGTAAGATAAATTGGTTAAGACGCACACCTAAGTCTATCTCTAGGGAATTACAAATGCTGATTGTACGGGTTAAGTGTCTGCTGCTGTGATTAACCACCATGAGCAAAAGCAGCTTGCGGAGGAAAGGATGATTTGGCTTGCAGGTTCCAGTTGATCACCAGGAGAAGCCACCAGGAGAAACTCACAGGAATCTGGAGACAGAGACCACAGAAAATTAGTCTTTACTGGCTCAATCCTCAGCCTACTTTCTTATACCACCCAGGAACACCTGCCCAGGGGTAGCTTTACACAACATTGGGCTGAACCCTCCCATATTAATCATTAATCAGGAAAACCCCCATATAAACTGGATAGGTGGTGCACACCCTTAATCCCAGCACTTGGGAGACAGGGGCAGGTTGATCTCTGAATTTAAGCCCAGTGAATTTTAGGACAGCCAGGGCTACATACACAGAGAAAAAAATGGGAAAAAGATGTCCTACAGACATTTTCTTGATTGATGTCCTTCTTAGATAATCCTAATTTGTGTCAAGTTGACATAACCAGAACAGTATCGTATGTCTATTTATATATCTATAGTTCTTGAGAATGGGAGTCAAGTCCCATAGGCAATTGAAAAGGATAGACATTACTGTTCTTGGGGACAAACTGAGGTGAAAAATCAGAGGTTTTGTTTTGTTTTTACAGAGTCCAGAGAATTCTAATGACTCTGGCTCCTGGTTTGAATGTTCTGGAAGTGTGGGATATGATAATGAATTTTTGCCAGTCAGCCATGGCCGGACATGTTTATAATTCTAGTACCTGATAGGTAGGGGGGGGGGGAGAATCGGGGGATCAAGGCCATCCTTAGCTGCATATCTAGCTCTATGCCAGCCTGGATATCAAGAACCCTGTCTGAAAAACAAGCACAAAAACCCAAACCATAGGCACTACACAATAGTCAAGTTCATTTGCCTTCAGGAGATATTTTAAGTAGACTGTAACAGGACCTCTGACCCTTTGTGGTGTTCTAACACTCTAAGCAAACCACTGATCCAAACTCTCATTCTCAGATAGACCTGGTGCATAGGAGTGAATTGTAGACAAAAATAGAGGACCAAAAGTCCTAGATTTCAGCTAGGATGACATTTATTGTTAAAAATCATTTACTTTAATGCCCTTGCTCTCTATTGTAGCAAACTTTCTTGTCAGACTGTCTTTGGACCACCAGTCTCAAAATAATGATCTGAGACTTTTTACTAATTATGAAAGCTTAGCCTTTAGCTTAGGCTCTTATAACTCGAGTTAGCTTGCTTCTATTAATCTACATTTTGTTATGTGACTTTTACCTTTCCTCATAGCCATGTCTGAATCCCTCCGAGTCTGCTGGTGAATTGCAGGCCTAGATTCCTTCTCCCAGTAACTCTCTCTCTCTCTCTCTCTCTCTCTCTCTCTCTCTCTCTCTCTCTCTCTCTCTCTCGCTTTCTCTCTGGAAGTCCTGCCTATTCTTCCCTGCTTAGCTATTGGCCATCTAACTCTTTATTAAACCAACCAGAAGCTGCCTTAGGCAGAGACACATCTTTACATTGTAAACAAATATTCTGCAACACCCTATGAGCAAATTGAGGTACAGGGGAGCCAAGTGACCCCCTCAATCATACAGAGAGCTGAGATACTTTGTCTCAACAGCTCTTTAGTTGGTTAACTCCGAGACTGGCACTGTTTTCAAGTTCTAGATGTTTAGGACAGAGGAAGATCTCGGTATTCATGGAAAACCCTGGGGACAGTGAGTTCCATAGGAGGTTGTTAAGTGCTAGAGGTAGCAGTAGCATTTAGTGTCTGAACTGAGATCATTAGGAGGATGAAAGAGGTGTCATTAATAAATTAGGCCAGAACATTAGGTTAATATGGGCCTGTCTGGGGATAAGAGGCTACCACACGTCAGTGGTAAAGAGATACCACTATAGTTCGAGAATGAGTGCCTGGGGCAGGTCTTTATCAGTTGTATTTGCCAGGTTCTCAGCCTCTGGTTACTAAACCATGTAGGAGATGGAAAATCTGGAGCCTTAGGCTGGATTCTTCATATAATTGGGGGGTTAGTGTTCCCTTTGATGGGAAAGGGGAACCATTTATCTCTTTAATTATAGACTATTAATGTGTTGGACAGCTCTCAGAAGCACACTTGTCTCTTTAAATTATGGGGTAAAGCTTCTCACTTTAATACTCATTTGAGGAACAAAGAATTTATGATGTCAATTCCATCACTCTCTCTACTCTGTTTTCTTTTATTTTATCATAAATAGGTAAGAGATTAAAGTCCTCTTCAGTGCAGATTAATGGCCTCATTTGTCATTCTCATAAACAGAGAACCAAAGGATGTTCTGTGCTTCTGGGCCATTGATTGTTACTGTCCACTGTGATACAGCACCACTGCCAAGGTACTGTACTAACTAAAGCTCTATGCCTAAATTGTAAGAAGCCAAGATGAGTGTAAGTCCCATTTGTTTCTATTTTGCAAGGATCCTAAGAATAGGATCCTTGGTTCCTGGTAGAGCAAAAGAACAGTTTCTGCCAATGACTTAATTCTACTTTTTTTTCTTTTTTTGAGACAGGGTTTTTCTGTGTATCCTTGTAGACCAGGCTGGCCTCAAACTCACAGAGAACTGCCTGCCTCTGCCTCCTGAGTGCTGGGATTAAAGGCGTGCACCACCACAAATGGCTAATGCATTCATTTTTTTTTTAATGTTCATTGGTGTTTTGCCATGGGTGTCCATTCCCCTGGAACTGGAGTTCAGACAGTTGTGAACTGCCTTGGGAATTGAACCCTGGTCCTCTGGAAGAGCAGTCAGTGTTCTTAACCGCTGAGCCATTTCTCCTGCCCTCTGCTTTTTTTTTCAAATGAACCTATAAACCAATAGTTTGTAGGAAGAGCATCATAGCTAAAGATCAAAGAAAGCTGAACTCTTTCAGTTGGTAGTCTTCTTCCCTTAGTGGAAATGTGAACCAGCTTTATCAGCGTGTTCATTACTTCTCTGCTGCTGTAATAAAACACCAGGACAAAGGTAAACTATAGAAGGAAGGTTTTATTTGAGCGTATGGTTCCAGAGGGACAGGAGTGGTGGGGAGACATGCTGGCAGGCAGGTGTGGCAGCCGGAGCAGGAGGCTGAGAGCTCATATCCTTGTAGAAAGTGAGAAGCCGACAGAGTGAACTGGAAGTAGCGTGCGGTTTTTAAACGTTCAAAGTGTATTTCCAGTGTGTTACTTCCTCCAACAGGGCCACAATCACCTACCCTTCCTCACACAGCACCACCAACTGGGGACCAAGTGTTCAAATATCTGAGCCTACGGGAAAGATTTCATTCAAGTCGCTGCAAACAGATGAGTTATTTATCCATCCATTCATTTGGGATTTTTTTCATGAATAGTTGATAAATTCCTTAGTTTCATCCTTAGCATAATTAATCACCTCAGTTTGGGTACATTTCCTTCTGATACATTTTGCTAAATTTTATCAATAAATATTATGGAAAACTAAACATTTTTTCAGAAGACTTAGAAGGCCATCGTGTGTGTGTGTGTGTGTGTGTGTGTGTGTGTGTGTATTCTTTCGTGTATGTATGTGTGCATGTACATATGTGTGCCCATGCACATGAAGGTCAGAGGTTAACCACTGGTGTCATTCCTTACAAGTCATTCATAATGTTTTTTTTAAGACCTTAGCTCGATGATTGGACTAAGTTGACTGGCTAGTGAGTATCAGAGATCTGCCTGTCCACACTTTCCCAGTGCTGGGATTACAGGAAACACATGATAATGTCTAGTTCATGTCCTTATACTCGTGTAGATTCACTGGCTGAGCTGTCTCCTTAGCCAAATCAGTCAATTTTTAATATCTATTCTTTTTGTTTTGCAATTGAAAATGCTTTTTTCCCTTATAGTATATTCTGATCATAGTGTCCCTTCCTTTATCTCCAGATACCCTTCATCACCCCATCCATCTAACTCCATTTCTCTCTCTCTCTCCAAAACAAACAACCCAGAATAAAACAAACAGACAAACAGAAAGGAAACAAAAACAAAGAGAACACACACACACACACCCCATACAAACACAAAATCAGAAACCATAATAGCTAAGCAAAGGACAAGTAAGGTTAAAAAAAAACCCAAACAAAGCAATATGAGACAAAACACCTCCAAAAATACCACTGAGTTCGTTTTGTGCTGGCCATCTGCTGCTGGGCATGGGCCTCATGTGGTTTGTATACCCAGTGAGACTCAAATTTTTTCCTCTGTGGATTCATTGTCAGCTGGAGATAGCTTCTAGGTTAGGGATAAGGGCTTGTATTCAATTCCCCTCTCATCCATCGCTGGGACCCCATCTAGCTTAGACCTGTACAGGCCTTATGCATGTTGACACAGCCTCTGTGAGTTCATATGTGTTAATACTGTTGTCTTTGGAAGACACTGCTTCCTTGGTGTCATCTGTCCCCACTGCCTCTCACAACCTTTCTGCCTCCGCTTAGTTCTCTGAGCCCTAAAAGGAGGGGTTTGATAAAGACCTCTCATTTAGAACTGAGTGTTCCAATTGTTCCAGTCTCTGCACACTGTCCAGCTGTGGGTCCCTGTGTTAGTTCCCATCTACTGTAGGGGGAGGCTTCTCTGATGATGGCTGAGTGAATGGGTATAGCAGAATGTTGTTAGGAATCATTTTCTTGCTGTGCTTTTTCAGCAGAACAATAGTATCAGGTTCACCACTAGGACCATGGCTTATCTAATCTCAGCTTTTGTGTACATGAACAGTGCCAGGCATGGGTTCCGTCTCCTGAAGTGGACCTTAAATACCATCAGACATTTGTTGGTTACTCCTACAATGTTTGTACTACCAGTGTATCATACAGATAGGACACCGCTGTAGATCTTTAATACCTATTCTTAATCATTGTTTTTAGAATAGTGCTTTCCGTAATTGTCACAAAATGATTCTTCATTGTCAAACCAAGTTCTGGTCTAGATGAACAGCTAGATTCAAAGGATTTCTTTAGAAAACAGTAGCTTGATGTTTGTCTGATAGTCTCATAGCTTAGGCCAACATGGAAGAGTAATAATTTTCTCTGTCCACCTTAGAATCACTATTCTTATTTTACTTCTGATTTCCAAAGACCCTGACTAGGTTTCTCAGAGTAAAAAATGGTGACTCCACACTTTACAGTGTCACAAAGTGCCTGTGAAGCATCAAACATTTGGAAGGACAATCCAAAGGATGTTATTTGCTTATTCTTCTAGAGTCTAGAATCTAGATTCTTTAACATTTCTCCCTGTGTTGAGATAGTGAAACTTTCAGCCACAGTGTGTTCATAAACCTCTATGCCTTTTGTGTAACATAAGAAATCCTATTTCTATAATTTGTTTTTCCACTCACAAGTAGGGTTTTATTCCCTCCCAATCCTCCTAAGTCCAACACAAAAGTAGACTTTTTTCATAGGAGATTCTGCCAGGAAACACCAGGAAGGAGGAAGTTAGCCAACCATAAATTTAGTATTTTTTGCAATGTAGTGCTGTGTAGATAAATGTGGTATTTCTGAGTCATTCCACTCCTCTGGGTTTGATGAAATAGAGGCTTACAGTGTGATATCCATTTTACCTTAATTTTACAAAACCTAAGTGAGAGATTCCACAAAGTCATCATTGTCATTGACCCTATGTGAAGGTTCAGGTAGAGTTTAAGCCAAGAATCTGCCCAAGGTATGGAGTCTTGATTGCAATACTGTAAGTTATTCTGTTCAGTTTGTCACGTGAGCATTGAATATCAGCTCTTTCCTTGGTTCGATATTAAAGTTTAGAGGAATCATAGAGATAGACACGAGTCTAAGCTGCAAGTAACTTGATAACAAAGCTAAATGGGAGAGCTTTGCCAATGACTTACATTTTTTAAATAAAGCAAACAACAGCCACAGCAATGCCCCCTAATCTGCATTCATGTATGCTTTCTTGACTGGAAGAGAAAGGAAGGAGGGAGACAGAAGGAATTCATTACATGTAACTTACAGTTCTGTGACAATTTGTTATACTTGTGAGCGCGCGCGTGCACACACACACACACACACATACACACACACACCTGTTGAGCAAAACCACAGAATCAGATCATCAAAAAATAAATAAACAAGGGCCAGGCATACTGTTGCAGACCTTAATTGCAACACCGAGGAGACCAGCCTGGTCTATAGAACAAGTTCCAAGACAGACAGGGTCACACAGAGACATTAATCATTAATCAAGAAATTCCCTATGTAAACTGGGAACCCTTAATCCAGCACTCAGGAGGCAGAGGCAGCCTGGTCTCTGAGTTGAGACCATCCTGGTCTACCGAGTGAGTTTCAAGACAGGGCTACACAGAGAAACCCTGTCTTGAAAAACAAAAACAAAGAAAGAATCTATTTCACACAGTTTTCCAAATTAGATATCTTTACTTAGTTACAATTCAACATTATGCTTTCAGGCTTTACATAAAAGGGCAGAAGAAGTTCTTAGAATATGTTTAGAATATTTTAAAAAATTCTAGTTGACATTATGTTCCATTTTTTTTCAGGACAACAGAATAGTTTATTCTTAATCTATATACAGATATTTTATAGTAGAGCAGTTTTAATTGCTTCTTTTTATCAGACAAGGAGCACAACACATCTTTACATGAAGTCCGTTATGTTTCTATTTTTGTCAAGCTACTAAAAACCTCCAAATGAGGTTCAGTGACTAGCTGTAACAATTAATTTAGCTCAAGTATGCAATGAATTTTATCTTTCTAATTTAAAAAACTTGGAAATTTGTTTTTAATTATGATGGCTTATGTTAATCATAATGAGAAAGGTATAAATATGAAATAGATTAAGGTAGGCATTTATATGCATAAATTCTGCTTGATTGCTGTTTAAAAAAATTCCATTTATTTGTGGGGTTAGAGAGATGGCTAAGCAGTTAAGAACACTGGCAGCTCTTCCAGAGAATTGGTGTTTGACTCTCAGCACCCACACAGCAGCTCACAACCTTCTGGAACTCTAGCTGTGGGGGAATATGAGGCCCTCTACTGGCCCCCATGGGAACTGCATGCATATGGTGCACAGACATCTCGGCTCACATACAAATAAAATTTAAAAATCTAAATACTTTTTTTTTAATGCTCATTATCCAAGAGTTGTGAGACTCAACTGTTTTGGTTTGGGTAGATGGGAATTGTTTATGAGGCTGAAATAACTTCTTTGATATTGTATGTGGTAGTGATTTTAGATGACAAGTTAAAAACTATATATTCTTTTGCACAACAGAATGGTCCTCCCAAAATTAATTTCCATAACTCCTTGCAAATAGATCAATCATTGGTCAAGAATGTTGACTGTTCTATTAGTGCGGTTTTTTTTTGTTTTGTTTTTTATTGGT